GTACCTTTACATGACAGGTCTTGGTTCTCATTTTTCCCCTTGTCCCCACCCCCCCCTTACAGGTAATATGATTAATTTCATCTAAGTGAGAATGCTTTTTTTTTTTTTTTTTGAGTCGGGGTCTTGCTCAATTGCCCAGGCTAGCTTTGAACTTTCAGTTCTCCGCCTTAGCCTCCTGAGTAGCTGGAATTACAGGCAAGTATCACACCATTCTTGGTTTGAAAATGCTTCGTAAATTTTTTTTAAAGTTTCTCCTAAGCTGAATCATTTTACCTGAGGCTTGGCCCTAGCCCTAAGGATCCTGTTATGTTCTTTAGTGCCTTTGAGTCTGTGCCTAGATTTTCCCTCCACCTGGATTGTTCCAGAGCACCAGACTTTCCCACCTGACATTAGATTATTCTAACCCATCCTTCAAGGGAAACCCAGCCCTCATTTCCTTGCCAAGACCTCCTCTGCCTCTTCACAGAGATTCTTTTCTTTGGTGAGGCTTTGGTACTCGACCAGTCCGTTAGTCCAGCAATTCTCAATAAAGGCTGATTCTTCATCAAGAAGGGCACTTGATAATGTTGGGGAACATTTTTAGTTTAATAGTGGAGAACATGTGCTACCAATAGCCATGGTAGTCCAGGGAAGCTGCTAGGCCTCCTATGGGCACAGAGGAACCCCCATCATGAAATTACAAAGGCCCTTCTATGTCCATAGAGGATGGATTCTGGGACCCTCCTCAGGCTACAGTCAGGATGCCCAAGTTTGTTGTATAAATTGGTATGATGTTTGCATATAACCTGTGCACATCCTCCCATGTGCTTTAACACATTCACGGCAGGGCTGTAATTTGTATGTCTCACTGCTAGGCAGCTTGAACTGCCAGTGGTACGTGCATGCCTGTCCCACAGGGCCACTTTTTATTAATTTTATTAGTAGAAAGACTATCTACTACCAGTGATACAAGCCACCCAATTGGACAGTCATGTTCAAGTTAAATCATCTCTAGACTACTTATAATACCTAATATATATGACACCTAATACAATATAAATGCTGTGTAAATAATTGTTACTCTGTTGTTTATAGAAGAATACAAGACACAGTACCAGGCACTTTGCGGGGGGATATTTTCCATCCATAGTTGGTTGTATCAGTGGATATAGAATCTTTGGATGTGGAGGGTCCACATGGGTACACATCCAGCTCCAAATATCAATGGCACTGAGGTTGGAAAACCTTGGTTTTGTCTAACATTTACTATGTGATTGTAACTATTTGTGTAAAATCCTATCTCTGCTCATTCAGAGGCAGAAACTGTTCATCTCCTGATCATATCCTCAGCCCAGGACAGGGTATAAAATAGCACTTTTTTGAAATACAACTAAGAAAATTTTTTTGCTTTGATCCTTGCAGTTATTTACGATCTTAGGCGAGACTCAGAGAAAGTGACTTGATTTTCTGTAATAATCTAACATTGTTTTTAAATGCACAGTTGTGCTGAGATTATTGATTAAATCAGTAACAGTGACAAGTGCTCCCCTTCGGTTTCTCTGTGAGCATCGTGGGGTGCACACATTCTTACTGAGGACTAGCAGGGTTGTTTTGCTCGTCTCTACAGCCCTCTGTCAAGTTTTCAGTGTTGCTAGAGTGCTAGATTTTACCACATACATTCTAGTAATCCTATCTTCATTAAAGTCCCTGCTCAAGATGCTAACAGCTGTCTGTTGAGCTATTCTAAGCAATTTACGCGCATTGATTTCGTTCTCACAATATCATTATCAGGTAGATGAGATTATTGGCCCCATTTTACATATAAGGAAATTGAAGCACTCAGAGGTTAGATAATCAGCTTGAGGTTACACAGCTAATAATATCAGAACAGCCTGGCTTCCAGCTGATGACTCCAACCTGCCTGTGGTAAAAGGCTTAGGTTCTTTCTCAGACCATCCATCAAAATAAACTCTATATCATGATTGTTTTTGGTACTGGGGATTGAACTCGGGTTCTTGCGCTTGCAAAGCAGGCCACCGAACCGCTGAGCTAAATCCCCAGTCCTATATCATGATTAAAGACATGACTATAACAAATACAACTTTACAACTTTAGGGAAAATATAGGAAAATGCTTTTTCAGTCTCAAGATAGGGAAGAATTTCTTAAACAAGGTTGGCAAAGTACAAATTATGAAGGGGAAATCAATAATTTTGAGTACATGAAAGTAAAAATATCTGTAGGTCTTAAAACATATATACAGGATTAAAAGACATTTGTTAGGCTGGGAGAATAGGACTTAATACAAAGAGCATAATAAAGCTAAAACAAATCAAAAAGAAAAAACTACACAATAGGAAAATGGGGAATGGAAGCAAAAAGGGGGAAAACCTCATAGCCAATAATTATATGAAATAATGCTCCATTTCACTCAGTAGACACGGAAATTAAAGTTAAAATAAGCATGATATGTATTTCCCCCCTCCTCACACATCAGATTGGCAAAAAACAGAGTGTCTCACAACGCTGATGTTGGCAGGATATAAAGAAATGGGAAACTCCCACCCCCACCACCTCTGGGGCTATGTTAATGAAAAGCTGGGCTGTAATTAGTAGGGCTGAATCTATGTGTGCCCTTGTCACCTCTGCAAATAACCATACTCTGTTTTAGCTCATAGAGGAAACAGATTGTATAACACAGACTGGGGTGTCCACTGATGCTGCAGAGAAGCAGCCAAGCCAGGAGGTCCTGGCCTGTACTGTCCCTGGGTTTCCAGGCTCTCTGGCACATGCTATCTGTCTGCACATCTGTGCCTTCCTCTGTGGTGAGGATCTGTACCCACATGCTTGTGATCTAGTCTCAGCACCTCCGGGCCACTTCCTGAAAGTACAGACCTCTGTCTCCCCACTAGGGCCAGAGAAGGCAAAAATAGCCTTGGCAGATCTATGCCAAGTTTAAACCTGGCCTGAGAAGGAAATGTGCTGGGCTTGCTGCCCACTATTTTCTCAGTACTCCAACAGCATGTGGGAGAGTGGAGGCTGGATCTAACTACCACTGCCAGAGGGAGCTGCTGCTTTCCTTAACCTCTCCTGGACAGCGCCTAGTTTAGGGGGAAGTGAAATTGGCAGCCCTTACTTCTTGTTCAAGTGGGCAACAAGCAGCCTAAGCCTTGGCATAATCCTTTTGGGTACCTGCCAGAGTCATGGTTGCTGAGTCATTTACTGTGGGGGAATCCAGTTGAGGTTTCTCTAAATCAGATACTGTAAAGGAACTGTATGGTGGTTCTTTTCTTTTCTTTTTTTGTTTGTTTTTTGGTGGTTCTTTTCTTAAGGGAGACAACTGAGTAATAAGTTTTCTAGTTGAAATAATGTCTCCAGGAATTAAGACAGAAGTTTGGGGGCCTCCACCAAATATGAACTTGTCTGATAATTGAGTGGGTCCCACCATGGTTTTTGAGCAACAGTTGGGGCCTCCCTACTGATCCCTGTCCTGGGCAGAGGCGCTGTTTGCCTGGGTCTGAAAACAGATTCTTAATTTCCATGGTCCAGGATCATCTTTTTATTAAGCGCACAGGGCATTTGCACTTGGCAGTATCCTCAGAGGATTTCTTCTTTGACAGGTTGCTGTCCTATACCTTAAAGATTTGTGGCTCAATGCTCTAATGTTTGAAAAGGGTCCGAGGAGCCCCTCGGCAGTGTGTTGGTAGGTTCTGTTGTTTTGTTCATGTAGACAATCAGAGAACAAGGCTCTTGAGCAGTGCTGGCTCATTCCCTACAAAAATGCCCACCCTAAGCTGAGGTTTAAGTTTATACCCTCAGCTTCTACCACAGCTTCCAGGGAAGAGTGGGCATTTGAGATCACCCTAGCATCGTGTATGGGACAAGAGTTGAAGATATTGTCTTCTTTGACACTCAACATTAGGATTTAGTTTTCTTTGAAAATACCAGGAAAATATTTCTCTTGAAATCTTGCATGCTTTCTTAGAGATTTGGGAGTAGAGAGGATGCTTGTAGTTGTATAAAGAGCATGCTTTGGGCAGGGTGTGGTGGAACATGCCTGTAATTCCAGCACCTGGGAGACTGAGGCAGAAGGATTGCCATGAGTTTGAGGTCAGCCTGGGCTACATAGTGAATTCAAGACCAGCCTGGGCTCCATAGTTCAAGGCCAGCCTGGACTACATAGCAAGACCTTATCTCAAAGAAACAAACAAAGCATGGTTTAGGGCCCAGAGGTCTTGGGCTTCTGCCCTGACTCAACCATTTGCTGAGTAAACTTGGCAGCTTAGCCACCCTATCTCAATCCCAGTGACCTCATCTTAATTTTCCCTGGGACACTTTGATATGACATATCATATATATTGTAGGTGTTAAACAAATGTCAGTTATTAGAAAATCCATTTTGATGCCAAGGAATTCAAAACTAGAACTGGTATTTCAACATAGTGAGAATTTTAATCTAGCTTTCTCAGACAATATTCCTTTTTCTTCTATGAGTTATGATCATGCATTTAAATTTTATTTCAACAAAGCCATTTTGTGTATGTTTTACTATTCTAGGCTGCTTCAAACAGGGAATAAATTAAGTGGGGCAACAGGTTCCAACTACTTTGTGCCATTATTTTTGTTTGTTGTTGATTTTTGAGACAGGATCTCACATGTAGTCTAGGCTAGCCTTGAATTCACCAGGTAGCCCAGGCTGCCCTTGAACTTGTGATCTGGAGTGCTGGGATAACAGATGTGTGTGTACCACCACCCCTGCTAATTTTTGCCATACTTACGTACTTGGTGCCAACACCCAGATTGTAAATCCGGTATGACCATTGGATGGCTGTGTCCCTGGGGTAGTTGCTGTGAGAGATATTTGTTGGGAGGTGGGTGCTTGGGTGGTTTGGTTGCGCTTTTCCTCTCTTGTTCTTTGTTTTTTTGTTTGTTTTTAAGACAGGGTCTCACTGTGTAATTGAGACTGACCTGGAACTCATTATGTAGCCCAGGCTGGTCTTAAACTCACAGTGATCCTCCTTCCTCAGCCTCCTGAGTGCTGGGATTACAGATGTGCGCCACCACACCTGGCTTCCTCTCTTATTCTGATCACTGATGGACATCCCCCAAGTCAGGAAATAAATGCTGAGCTCTGCGTCTGCTGCCTGCACATGCTGAGGCTGGCAGCGAGCCAGGAAGCATGCAGAATGCTGTGGTCAGGTGGGTCCGGGGTCAGACTTCACCTGACCCAGGGAGAGAGAGGCACTGTCCACTCCATGGAGGGCAGCAGTGAGAACCATGCAGTCATGTTATCCCTATATCTGAGTTCCTGCTCCAAAGGATTTCATGATTGATTTGGGGCTCCTCACTTTGTAAAAGAAGGAACAGCATCCTCCTCCATGCCCGCGCTCCCTGTGTACACATCGCCATCTCTATTCTTTTCCTTGCCCCTACACTCTTCCCCTCGGCAAGCTGTCATTGTAGCTGTGAGTTCTTCCTCCCCAGGAGCATCTAGAATCAGACGTTCTTCCCCAGCACAGGCAAGTGGGGGGGGGCATGAAGCTGCAGCTCTCTCCTTCGGATTCTTGTTCTTTTCCTTTTGGCCTCTCCTGGATTTCCTGTTTAATGTCTCCTGCTGCCACCTTTCAGAGAGTTCATTTTGCATGTGGCTGCTGAACTTTGATTTGGTGACTCATGCTGAGGGGAAAACATCAACTTCTCCTCCCTCATTTGATTGCTTTCCTCCTTTCCCCTTTAAAAAAAAAAAAAAACAACAGCTCAAAGCCTAACCACCTTTGCAGCTGAACGTGACTTCTCACACAGGAAGTGGAGCGTTGGCTTGAAGTGGCTTCCAGCCGTGGCCCAGACTAGCTGCCTTCTCCTGACTCCAGGGACTCTGGGAACCTCGGAATCAAAGTGGAGGCTGCCACTGGGAGAACCAGAAGGACACATCCACTGGTGAGTGCTTGTGCCTAGGCCATCAGTCAATGTGGCAGACAGTGTGCAGACTTTAGTCAAGGAGCTGGCGCAGAGACTGAGCCTTGGGGTGGGAGGACTGGTTGGTGACAGTCCTTTGGCGATTATTGTCCTGAACAATCTGACTTCTCACACCTTGAATTATTCTAAGTGCTCAAGTTGAAACATAAAGTAAATATCTTTGCTTTCCTTGGCGGGGGTGGGGTGGGGTGGTGGCAATCCATGTTCAGTTTTAGCAAGGATTTCATAGGGGAAAGGTTAAGCTCTTCAGTTTCAGTAAAACCTCCTGCTATGATGTTTGCAACATTTTAAAGTTATAAAGGTGGGCTGGGGATTTAGCTCAGTGGTTCCGCCGCCTGCCTTGCAAGTGCAAGGTACTGAGTTTGAGCCCCAGTACTAAAAAAAAAAAAAAAAAAACAAAATAAAACCCATAAAAGTTATAAAGGAACATAACTCATTTTACTCTGTCACAGTGCTCACAAAAGCATCTAGATAATCATTTCTTGATAGCTAGTTTCCTGGGTGAATGCAGATCAGGAACTCTGGTCAATGGCCTCAAACACCGTGTTTCTAGAGGAGGGCTCTGTGAGCTTCAAGCGGGCCCATGAACAAATTAAACTCTTAAATCTGGTTGTGGCACAGATAATTTTGGCTAACTCCCTGTAGTCTTTGGAAACCTCAGCTTTGCTCCCCAAGATTATGGATTTTTTTCTCCCAGACCAGATGATGCCACCCTCAGTGCGCCAGCATCTGATAGGAGTAGATTGGGATGCAGAATATAGGAGTGCTGTTTTGGAAAGTGGGTCAGGGCTGCAAATACCTGTATGACATATAGCTATACAGAAGATCTGAGGACAAGTTTATAGAGAAAATAAATGGCCAGGCTGTCACACCGATGCTCATTGCAGCATTATAGCAACGGCCAAAAGGTAGAAACAATCCAGTTGTCCATTGATGGATGAATGAATGAATGGATAAATACAATGTGTGCTATATACACTCAGTGTTATTCAGCCTCAGAAATGAAGGAAATTCTGACTTATGTGGCAACATGGATGAACCTTGAATATATTATGCTAAGTGAAATAAACCATAACCAAAGGACAAGTATCTGGAGGGGTCAAATTCACAGACAGTAGAGTGCTGGTTGCCAGGGGCTGGAGTAGGGTAGGGGATGCAGAAACTGTTTAATGAGTAGAATTTTAGTTTTGCAAGGAAAGGGGTTCCAGAAGTGGGTGATGGTAATAGTTGTCCAACATGTGAATGGACTTAATGCTATGGAAATGTATACTTAAGATTGGTTAAAATGGTAAATTTTATATTTAATCACAATTAAAAGATTTAAAAAATTGTCTTAAAAAAAAGCCTAGACACCCCCCCTCAATCTTATGGGCTGAAATCTTTGCCTCTCTTTGACTTCCTCAAAATCTAACTGATGATTCCACTGGGGGCCTAGAGATCTGAGCTAAACCACAAAACTTCTTAAACTCTGTTGAGAAACTGGGGGCAGGCTGACCTTCTCATCCTAGTGGCTGAATTCTGGTCGCCATTATGTCATGGTTTTCTATGGAGCTGGCAGAGGCCATTTGGAAGGGGTCTTGGGGAACAAGGGCAAGATCCTGAATGTGCTCATTCAGGCCCTGCTCTATGGCTTCGTGGCAGCAGGCCATAGCTACAGGTCATCTCCTGGCAAGGTTGTTAGGAATTGTGGCCCTTTGCAGTCTGGTATCTCCTACTTACTTGCTGCAGCGTGCTGGGTAAATCACCAAAGTCTCTTTTTTCCTCAGTTCCTCAGAGAAACTGCAATATGAGGAATGAGGTACTGTTTTGCTCCTCCCAGGGACCCTAGAGTTTCCATACAAAATATAGGAGGAAGTGTCTTGTAATTACAAAATGCAGCACACAGAGGAGCTACTAGTTCTCTTATTCCCTTTCCTTTTATTCTTTTTTGTTTTGTTTTGTTTTTTTGTACCAGAGATCAAACTTGGGACCTTACATTTCTGTGGCAGGTGGCAGAACCACTGAGCTAAATTCCTGGCCCTCCTTTTATTCTTGTTCAGATTTTCTTTGATTTCCTCAGGATGTCTTTTGGTCAGAGGCTACAGACCTTTGACCTGGGGTCCTCACCTGTCTGGTTGATGCCAGAGGAAACAGATCTGATTTGATTCCCTTCATTATACCTATGAAGCCCCCGAACCTCCTTCCCTGTTTCTGTCTTGTTGGGCTGTCTCTGACTTTGGATTCTTTCAGAACATGCTCCTGCAGTCTGGTTGCCTTGTCTGCTAACAACTAGGGGAGGAAGTGCTGCAAGAGCTTGTGAGGCAACTGTGAAGATTTTATTAATCTTCTGTGTGCTTTGTGGCTCCCAGTCAAGATTGAAGAAGAAAACTGAGATGAGGTTGTTTAGATTTTCAGGTCTTAAAAATAGAAAAACAAACCAGCAGCTGGGGTGGTGCAGCCCAAAGACCATCACATCCCAGGGGAGGGTTGTCACTCAAAGACCCAGGTTGGTCCCTGAGGGCATAACCCCCCTCCTCCACTGCTGACTAGTATCTCCCTTACTTAGAAAACAATTTCTAAAAAAAGAAATGAAGTTTTGTTTTAAAGCTTCAAGGGGAAAGAAGCCTCTGATGAAGGTGAATCCTTTTTGTTATTTTTATGTAAAAACAGCCATTTTATCCCACATAAAACTTTTGAAAGACCCTCAGAAAAGGAGCTCTGGTTCTAACTGGTGGGCTTTATGGAAAGCTGCAGCCATGGATAAGGGCCTCATGTGGCTGCTCTGCCTAGGTCAAAAGATCCATATCTTTCATTATGGAAATGTTCAGATTTCTGTCACACCCAAATGCGGAGTTACAAAATAAACACAGATTCTTCTCATACCTGTTCCTCTGTGAGTAAAGAAAAGTCACCTGACCTGTTCACATTTTGTTTTTTTTTTTTCCATTTCTGCAATAACAAGATACTGTATTGGGCCTGAGTACAACTCAGAGTGACAGAATTATTTTCAGAGACTACTGATTGTCAGTCTCTAGTACTTACTAGCTATATAACTTTTACTCTGTGCCACACCAAGCCTCAGTTTCCTCATTTGTGAAAGGAGTGGCCTCATATTTACTCCCACCATCCCACCAAGAATAATAGGATATTTAAATAAGAATCTCTATGTGAAACCATGAAGAGCCCCACGAATATAAATTTCTATGTTTCTGTCATCTCTTAATCTTTCTGCTCTTCCCTTCTCTCTCTTTCTTCCAAAGCAAAATAAGTGCCACAGCACAGGTGGAGTTGGATGGGGCCACGGGGCTTGGGAAGGCTTTTTGGAGGATGTGACAGTGGGCTTAGCCTGGTGAGAGGACAGGTGCTCTGGGCTGGGGAAAGGCCCTGAGTAGATAAAGGCCTTTAAGGGGGTCAGTGAGTGATCTCTTATGGCTGGTCTGTCAGGCTGGATGAATATCGTCTTCCTCCATGGAGTTTGGTATGAAACTGGACCCTAGCCCAAAGGGACAACCATCTGAGACAGAAAGACCGTCACTAGGTATAGTGAGAAGAGAGACTGGGCCAGAGGCACCTGACCAAGAGATGGGAGGAGATCAGGCCTGAGGGTGAGGCTTGTGCTCTTGTGTAGAAGTTTTGTCCTGTATTCTGTATAGGATGAGGAATGTGGAAGTTCTTTTGGAGGCATGAAAGTCTTTGAGTGACATGTGATTTGAATCTTGAAGTCTGCCAATCCAAAAAGAGAATTCCATGTAAAGAGAAAAGCACATATGCATGAGAATATTCTGGAATGCTTAGGGATCAGGGAGAGTTACATTGTGGATTCAGAGAAGGCTGGGTGGGCCATCGGTGGATGGTGGGTGAGGTGGACAAGGTCAGAGTTACAGCATGACACAGCTGATCAGAATATGGGGTCTTTTAGTCAACAGAGTCGGCGAAGTATACTTCTAAGTGTTATCAAAATAATAATGAACATTTGAATTGTAAAAGTTTATTATAGTAAAAGACACATTGGATTTAGTCCTCCTCAAAATATTCCCCCTGGTATGACCACACTTATCTCAACATTCTTGCCACATTCTAAAGAAGTTCTCTTTCGTGAGTATATTTCTGAGGTGTGATCAAAGCTATGGGAAACACTGCTGCCAAGTGCCATCCAACAGAAAGCCAGGCTCATAAACGGATTTCAGTGTGCCCTCGTCTGCCTTATTCACCACGGTTGATACCTTGTGTCTTCTGGCTCCTCCCCAAAGTGAAGATGACCATGAAAAACATTTTGTATTGATTCAGAACACTGGGTAGCCAGGACAGTGCAACTAAAGACACTCAAGGAGGAGACTTCCAGAAGTGCTTCAGAAAGTTGCAAGAATGACAGGACAATGTACTTGAAACAAGGGTGCATATTTTAAGAAGGATCAATGTCAATGTGTCTTCTACTATAGCAAAAGCAAAGCATTCACAGTTTCTTGACCATACCTCATACTTGTATCAGCCTGTGTTAGAAATACGATGCTGACTGCAAGCCAGTTATAAGCAGATGGTTCTGAGGAATGGGGCCCTGTGGAGGCTGTGGTGCATTTGAATATGGGACGAGGAAGGCTGGAATGAGGCTCGGGGAGCAGGTGAGTCCCGGGAGATGGGGCTTGAGAGGGATAGGCTGAAGGGAGGAAAGACACTGGGCTTCCTGGATGGGGCCTGGGTGAATGGCCACATCTCTAAAGGCCAACTACGTGGACCCATCTCTGTGGAAATACTTACTGGAATAGCTCTTGATTTAAGAAGAAACTTTTGGTTTCAGAACTGCTCTGTGCCCTTAAATATTTTGAGGGACCTCCAAGAGCTTTTGTTTCTGAGGGTTATATCTATTTACTGAAATACACTTTGTTAGAAACTAAGACTAATAAATAGAAAATAAATCCATTTATTTTTAAACAGCAATAAGCCAATTATACCTTTATGAGAACTCTTATCTTCCAAAACAAAACAAAAAATAGTAAGAAAAATGACGTTGATTTTTTTTTTTCAAATCTCTTTAACATCTAGTTCTATAGAAGACAAGTAGATTCTCGTATCTCTTTCTGCCTTAAAAATAGCACTATCGCAGGACAGATAGCCTCTGGAATATTTCATGGTATATTCATGAGAGGAAGAGAATGAAATAAATAAATTACATCTTAGCATTATTATGAAATTGTTATTAAAATTAGTATTCTGAAATTGAGTTATTATAGTTTTTACCTCATAGATTCCTGGAAAAAATCTTGAGGTTCCCCAAGGGTTCCCTGGACCACCCTATGAGAACCCACTGAAGCAGACATTTAGCAATGTCTGCTGAATGCCAGCATTCTGAGTTCCCACAGCACTCTGTTTACACGGTGTGCATGTGCGTGGCATATGTGGCATGGTTTACAGCTGTGTGTGTGCTGGTGCTCAGTAGGAGGTCATCTAGGGGCTGCAGGGCCTCCACACTGAAGGAGGGAGCAGAGGAAAGAGCTGGAAAGATGTAGGAGGCGAATCAGGCCAAGCTGCATAGCTTGAAGGAGTACAGGGTTTCAAGAAGAGGCAGGCCATAATTTTAAAATTGAAAATAATGAAGAGTCAGAATGTGGTCCACAGAGTTAAAAGCAGCAGAGAGGTGGGACCAGGCCAGGACTGTGGAGATGCTGTTGCACTTGGCAGACTGAGGGGTGTAGCAGAGGCCTCTATCCAGAGGTTGATTTTTGTTTGTTTGTTTTTTGAGGCAGGGTCTCCCTTTGTAGCTCAGGCTGGCTCTGAACTCAGTATGTACCCCAAGCTGGCCTTGAACTCTCGGCAATCCTCCTGCCTCAGCCTCCCAAGTGCTGGGATTATAGGGGTGCACCACCACACCCTGCATTATCGAGAGGTTGGTTATGAAGGGCCTTCCACCTGCCCAACCTCAACCTCATTACCTCTGTCCCAGTCCCTGCACTACAGGGAGAGGCCTATGAGAAAATAAGAAGGCCAAGTGGGAACCTGCATAGACGTGAATGCTGCAAAGGATTTGGATGGAAGAGTAGGATGAACAGGTGAAGAACCAGCAATGCTGAGAAAAGGATGGGGTGAAGAAAATGTGCAAAAATCTTCCATGAGCAGGATTTCTAACAGCAAAATGGAAGACAACTTAAGTTTCTATCCATTGGCATATGACTAAACTATGGAAAGCACCATCCATCCATCCATCCCTCAACAAGTAGACATTGCAATTGAAATGTGCCAGGGCTGTTCCAGATTCTGGGGGATACCATGGGCAGCAGGACAGGAAAACTGGCCTGGAAAATTTTTCCAAAATGCATTTTTAATAAGCAAGTTGCTGAACAATATGTCCAGTGTAGCATCATTTTTGTAAAAATCAAACCAAACAACTCTAAAAGTGTGTTCGTATCTATTTATTTTCAAGTTAAATGTGTAGAGAAAGTGTTGGAGACATGTAAGCAGTTAGCAGAGTTAGCAAGGGAGGCACTGGGGAATTGGGGTCTGCAGTATTCTTTTGCATTATTTGAATTTTTCACAGTAAATATATTTTCATGATTATAGTTGTATTTAAATTTGTTTTTTAAAATGTAGATCTTTGTGGGTGGAAGAGAGATCAACTTGTCCCAAATATTCATACTGGTTTAGACAGCTTCTCCTGAAAATACCATAATGAGAAATAACTTTTTTCCGGAACAAGAATGTTAGTCCTCTCCACTGCTCCATCACCACACAAGTATACCCCAGGCAGTTATGCCTGAGAGGAAGGGTCAAATCTGGTCTTCCTGTGACTTCAAATGTTCATCCCTCTCTGTGTGGCCAAATTTCTTCTTCCTGTAAGGATTCCAGTCATTGGACAAGGGCCAATGCTGGTGACTTCATTTTAAAGGTCCTGTCTCCAAGTACAATCTTGCTGTGAAGTCCTGGGGTTGAGAACTTCAACATAGAAATCTGGGGTCCACTCTTCAACCCTCAGGCACATTTTCTTGGCCTTTCCTGATCGCTGGGTGCCCTGCTCAGCACTTGCCACCTTGGGGTGTGGTTAGTGAACCCTGCACAGACACGTTGGGGCAAAGGCCTTTGAGAATACAGTAGCACAGGGAGACTGATTGCATCTCCAGCTCCCCAACCACACTGAGCAACTGAAAATCCCCAGGGGGACCAGTCTCAATGTGATTTCCTGACTGATAAGGCTGGAGGGAGGGAGTGTGTACACCTCTTGCCCTCAGTCACCTGGCAGCTTGGTTGCCACACTGCATAGAAAACACCTGATGGACACTGTTTTTCCTTCAGCTCATGCCTGTGGGGATCTCCCAGGAGGAAGCCGTGGGCAGGACCTGCACAAGGTGCTGGCTGGCACAATATGGAGCGCCTGAACAAAATGGAGTTCTTCCAGAAGCTGGGCTACAGCCGGGAGGATGTGGTCAGGGTGCTGGACAAGCTGGGTGACAGCGCCCTGGTCAATGACATGCTGCAGGAACTGATCAGGACAGGCAGCCGCCCTGCAGCTCAGAAGGGCCCAGACAGCAGCCCTGGGCTCCTACTCATTCCCAGGGGCTCCTGTGGGCCCCCAGATTCTGCCTGTCGGGTCCTGGGGCCAGCTCTGGAAGAGGACTGCAGTGACCTGGCCAGTTCTCTGCGCCCCATAGTGATCGATGGCAGCAACGTGGCAATGAGGTATCTTTCCTACTTTCCTTCATCAGGTAGCTGGGCGGTGGGTAGTGGAGAACTGATTCCCAGGATGCCTATGAATCATCCCCGCTTACTGTGGTTGTTCCAAAGAGCTGCGGGGCCAATGGATCAGGCTTTGGATCTGTTTCACCTCATAGTAGCTGTGTTTCTGTAAGTAAGTCACACAACTTCTCTGAGTCTCCATTTTTCTTTCTGTACTGTTGGGGATTGGTCCTCCCAAGAAAGTAGTCTGAGAACCAGAGCTGCACAAAATGCTTAGGACAAGTGCTCTCTAATCATGTTCAAAAAGAGGATGCTATTATTATTCTCACCCAGGGGAAACACATAAAGCCTTCCTTCCTCTGGGGAAGGTGTGGGCACTGGGGAGAGCACAGGGTCAGATATGGGCCAGATGTGGCTTCTTCTCTGGACCTTGTCCCTAACCAATTGTGTGACTATGGCAAAAGAAGCGTTCTCCATTTCTCTTCTCTCTTCTGCCTCCCTCAGGGATGTGAAAATCACGTGGGAGAAAGACCAGCACTGCTCTGGGAGCCCTCAGAGGGGTTTGCTGGGAGGGAGGTCTTAGTTCCCTTGTTAGATCTGAGAGGTGTTTGTGGTCTTTCCCTTCTCCCCTGAGCCGCAGACTGTCTTGGCATATTTGTGCATTTCGGGGTTATGAGCACCATGTCCTGTATGGCTGTTGTACCTAGCTTGGCTGAACCCCGCTGTGAGAATCTCTGCAGCCTCCCATGCTCCACCCTAAGTGAATAAGTCATTGCTCAAACACATGGATTATTCTGCCCCTTGGCTTAGTTACAGCCAGGCCAAGCACAAGAGCCATAGGAAATTGTTCATGCACAGCTGCAAATATATGTGATTCCCTTTTAAAAGCTGAGTTATAGGGAAGAATTCAGAAAAGCTGTTTCAGCGACTCCCACCATGTCAACAAGGCATCAGATTTCCCCTGGGGTTGGGATTCACTCTGGATTTGCCTTTTCAGGATAGATAGCAGTTTGGAAAGGTTCAGTACAACATGTCCCAGCCCTGGGCACTATCCTCCTTCACCCTGTGTGTTTTGTGCTGAGAAGAGTGCTTTGTTCTTTACCAGCCAGTTCTCCCTATCTTATATCAACACATGATGAAGCTAAGGAATGGGGTGCATACCTGTAATCCCAGGACTCTGGGAGGCTGAGGCAGGAGGATTGCAATCTGAGTCAGTCTGGGAAACTTACTGTGGCCCTGTCTCAAAAATAAAAAAATAAAAAGGGCTGGAGATGTAGCTCAGTGGAAAGGCTCGGGATTTAATTCTTAGTAACACACACACATACCTGTAATCCCAGGACTCTGGGAGGCTGAGGCAGGAGGATTGCAATCTGAGTCAGTCTGGGAAACTTACTGTGGCCCTGTCTCAAAAATAAAAAAATAAAAAGGGCTGGAGATGTAGCTCAGTGGAAAGGCTCGGGATTTAATTCTTAGTAAAACACACACACACACACACACACACACACGCACAGTGTGTGTGTGATGAGCTCCTCTTTCCCTGGGTCTTAGGAGCTGGCCTAACGGGTTGCTCTCGTTCTCATGCAGGTCCCTGGAGGGGAGTCTGTGGAATGTTGCTCCATTTAAGATCTTGAGCATTACTGGGACTTTTAAGACTCTAAGTGTCCTGTGAAGAGCTGGAGGGGTGTTGGAGGGAGCCTGGTCACTGAGTGATCTCAGCATCAATAGAAAGAGGGCTTTGTGTGTGATATAATAATCACATAAGTTAGAAACATCCCCAGCTTTAGATTCCAAATCAAAACAGTAGAATGGACACAGAAAAAGATTACTTCTGGGGGCTATAGGAAAACAGCATTTTTTCTTTGGGGACCAGAGAATATTTTTAGGAGTTGTTATAGGGTGGCAATGCAAATTTTTCTTTTGATGGGAGTCTCTGTGGCTGCCCGGAACTGTGCCTTAAACTATGATCTCTATTTACACAAGACCATGAGGTGTCCTGGGCCCACCACTTCCACCCTCTACCTCTCGCAGCTGCAGTGAGTTTAATGTTCTCATTCTCAGCCTGTGTGGGTGACAAGTGGAAACTCTTCTTCAGACTCACAATGAAGAGCAGTGAGAGCATCACTGTTTGCACACCCTTGCTACCCACAAAATAACACCTCAAGTAACCAGAATGCAGCCTGTGTGTTCTCTGTGTGTGCACATGGATATATGCACATGCGTCCACACACAAATCCATGTACGCACATGTGTGTCTATGAACATGTAAACATGATGCCTGTCCCTCCTCCCACTAGTTAGGAAAAAGGGATAAATTGTACGACGACCACCTGACTATTGAACTTAATTGGTCCCCCTCAAAGGCACGTGCTGGAAAGAGCAAGGGCCTGAAGTTCTACTCCATTCACTGTCTCTTCTCCTACAGTGGCATCTCCTGTGTCCTCCCATCACAGTTTTACCCAGAGCCATGTCTCCGGGGCCCTTCCAGATTCTGCAATTGAGATCTAGGCAGATGCTTCCCCTTTACAAGTGACGGCTGGTTGAAACCCCAATGGTGTGTCATTATCTGCTGGCCTCAGAGTTCAGACAGCCTCAGAAAAAGGGTATTCTTGAAGCCCTCCTTCTCTGAGGTTTGTAGTGTGGAAGATGTCTTCTGGCCTTGAAGGTGAGGCTGTCTTCGAGGGGACAAAGAGGAGCTTGAAGCTGAGTGGCTTGAAGCTGAGTGGGACATGTGCCCAAGGTGCAGCTTCTGTCGGCAGGACCATCCACCAGTGTCTTACGCTGGCTGTGTCTGTGCCCTGGGGCCTGTGGTGACATGTGCCTGTGCTCACAGAGAACAGCGCCCTGCCTTTTCTTTTTTTCTTTTTTCTGACTTTTCAGTACAATTTTTTTTTTTTAATCACAACTTGGGAAAGTTGTGTTTTGGTGGATCCTTATAGACTAGCATCTGCTCTAGTTTCCTATTGCTCTTTGGTGGCTTAAAACAACACACATTTATTCTCTTCCAGGTCTGGAGGCCACAAGTCTGACACAGGGCTCCTGGGCTAAACTCAAGGCGTCAGCTGAGATGAGTGTCTTTCTGAGAGCTCGAGGGGAGAGTCTGTATTTTTCTGCATTGCTGACTTGTGGCTTCTTCTTTCAAGCAGTGGCTAGAAACAAGACATACAACGAAGTTTTTGTGTACACATATCTGTGTTTCTCTGAGAAGGTTCACGGCTTTCAATAGATACTTAAAGGATCTGTGATCCTCTAAATGTTAGGAGCTGCTCATGTGGAATGAGAAATTACCTGTGATGTAGTGCTTTATGGCCTGGATTTCTTTTTTCTCTGCCTTTTAGGATGTACCAAGCTGCATGCCCTTAGTCAGCACAGGGAGTGTTTAAGTAGCATCAGTCCTTGTGTCTGCCCCTCTCTTGCCTAGGACAGGACTTGATGGACTTGGCCAAGGCCAACACTGGTTGAGTCAGCCCTGACCTCCATGCGTGTGCTCCCATCATGTCCCCCATTCACGTCATGCCGGGCTTCTCTCCTGAGGGCTGGGGGACTGTGGGCCTGTTGGTTGTGGCTGAACCCACTGTCTTAGGCTGGCTGCTATCTCTGTAGGTTCATAGAGCAGGTCACTGCCAAGGGCTTTTGACAAACAATGGGATGTATTTGTTTAGGGGTTTGGGCTGCTATATGAAACATTCTGTCCTTGAGGCATTTAAATAGAACAGAGCTGAGTGTGTAGCACTTCCATACGATGGACCTAAACACCCTTCTGTCTCCTCACTGTAGCAACACAAAAAGTCCACTGGGCTTCCACAAGTAGGACTAATGGCTTTTCTTTTTCTATTCATAAACAGTGAATCGACTTTTCTTTCCCTTGTTCTAGAGATTGAACACAAGCCCTTTGCACTGAGCTAGAGCCCCAGCCCATTTTTAGTATATATGCTGCTGAAGCAAGCATGCCCAGCCCTTTTAAAAAACTTTAATTTTTGTTGAGACAGGATTTTGCTAAATTGTCCAGCTTGCACTCAAACTTGTGACCCTCCTGCCTCAGCCTAACAAAGTCCTGAGATCATAGGTGCATACTACCATGCCTCGCTGCAGCGAGTCAGTTAATAAGAATTCTGTGTTGCAAAGTGGGTGAGCATCAGTCCTGGACCTGGGGAGCCAGGCTTCAGTTCGTCCCTCAGTCTTGGTGAGTCTCTTGTATCCATGTGGGAAATGAGGAGGATAGAGCCCAGGATGGAGGCATTTCAGTGCCTGAGGTCCGAGTTTGGACTTTAGCCCAGACTGCTGGAAGCAACTCTCTGCTACGATGGAAAGTTCTATCTGCTATGGTAGCTACTTGCCATGTGTGGTTACCCAGCTCTTGAAAGATGGTTAGGGTGATTAAGGAACTGAATTTCCCTTTAATTCTTTTGACTTTAAATAGCCACATATACAAAGCTGTGCAGCTTTGGCTTTTTAGCTGAGCAGCTGTGTGGCCTGGGCAAGTCCCTGACGTTTTTGAGTTCTGTTTACACAGTTGGAAGTTTGGACTAAGTAATCTCAAGCAGCTTTTTCATCTCTGACATGCTAATATTCAAGGTGATTATTCCATGAGTGGTAGAAAGATATAGGGTATTTTCTTCGAAAGGAATTTCTCTTCTTTCTTCAGAGGTTCAGAGATTGAGAGAGAGGGAGAGAGAGAGAGACAGAGAGAGAGAGAGAGAGAGAGAGAGAGAGAGAGAGAGAGATAAAGCAACTTGCCTGCCATTGCAGTGCAGTGAGTGCTAGCTGTGGATCCACTGCTCTTTCCAGGATCACCCATCACTTCTAGCAGTTTCCATACCTCTGGAGCTTTTCCCATCTGGCCTTGGAAGGAGCTGCATGGTGGGAGTCCCTGACCCTGCATGGCCTTTGTCCAGGGGCCAGAGTGTAAGCAGAGCCTGACCTAAGCGAATGTGCAAGGCCCTGCTGTCTTAACAGGACTGTAGTGCCGGTTTGCAGGACCCACTTCTGCCTGCTGCCGGCAGTGCTCAGCCTCGGTTGCCACATGTGCCTTGAATGGCGGATCTGAGGGACCAATGGCCCAGAGATATGTTTCCAGGTACAATCCCAATACCTTCAAAGGAGGGATGGGGTGGTGCATGCTTGGGTCACTCAGCTGAATACCTGAGTTGCTAGACATGGCCTTGAAAGCAAAATGCCCAGCAACTTTTAGAGAACAGGTAACTCACGTGGTGGCCTGTTAGCAGCTGCAACACAGTGTTTGGGAAGAACATGGCTTCCCAGGAGCCACAGTGCCATGCAGCATTTCTTTGCAGGGTCTGAGAACTTATAAGCACCCAGCCTGCTTTGCATTCTGTAGGCAAATTTAGCAATGGTGGGCTTCAGAGCCTCCAAATTGGAGGGAAGCCACCTGAGAATTTCACATCCTCTTACTGCTTCCACGGAGGATTTCATTTCAATGTGTCCTCATTTGGGGTATGTTGGACTTTTTGTTTGAGTTACTGTCTACATTTACAAACTCTTAGGCATCTCTCCTTCTTCTAGAGAAAGGAATCGGTCAGTAAACAGAGTCTGGGTGGAAACAGTATCTGTTTTCATCACGCCCCTTTCTGTAGGCTTTAAGTGGGCAGGAAAGAGACAGATAGGGGTTTACTTTTGGGCTAGGGGTCAGACTGGCTTCCAAGACCCTGTTCTTTCTGACCAGCTTTGGTCCTGGGATCCTACCTGTGTCTATCCATCTCTCCTCTTACAAGGTGAGGACACCCAAGGCAGCCCTGCTCACCTCCTCTCACCCTGACTTGTGTGGGGAGAGATCTCCCAGGGAGAAGGTTCAGAATGCTGGTAGTGTAACCCCAAATAAGAAACAGTGGAAACAAAGGTGTCCGTTTACACCTCAGACCCCTAGGAAGTCATTGCTCCTCTTTCTTTTCTCCTGCTCTGTACCCAGCCCTGATCCCAAGGGGCTGTTTTGTGAGCCCCTAGCTTCTGCAGTGACTTCCTGAGTACCAGTCAAGGATCTAGTGATGTACAAGATGGTCTGGTTTCTGTAAATGAAAAACGCCCCAACTGTGGCTGCCCCAGGCACAATTGTCACGTTAGCATAATTTGCTTCAGGCACCAACCCACTTCCCCTTTCTACCCTCATGATATTCAAAACCTCTGGGCTCTCATTTCCTTTTCCCATCAGTCTACTGTCTAATAAGCCAGCTCCCAGTGCTGGGAGTAACCCAGGAAGGCATTTTCGTGCAGAAGCACTTAACCTTGGGTGATTTCTGCTCCTAGGAGCCACTCTGGGGTCTTAGGGATCCTAGTGCCAAGGAAGAGTTTACAGCTAACAATCAGGCTCAGAGGACAGGGGCACTAGATCTGAGCCTGGCACATATCTTTACGTCATTTCTTTCAAAAGTAAAATGAGGGTGAAGGTCCCTCTCTCAAGGACTTGTAATGATTCAGTGAGATGAAATGTGCATCTTGGCAGACAGAACTCTACATGTATTAAAGATGATCTCTAAGAAGCAAGGGACATCTCTTCTTGGCACCCAGTGCAGCATCTTGTAGGGGAGGTTCTAATCCACACTGAGACAATGATGAAATCTCCAGATGAACGGAGGCTTTCAGCTCATATACAGCCTGATCCCCTCTGACCAAGCATGATAGTCAAGGCCTGATTGCCTGCCCAGGCCTTGTTTTCCCTTGTACTGAATGTCCCATTCCTCTTAACCACACACCCAGTGAAAATTTCAGGGAGAGGAAGTTGGCTTTTTAGTGATTAAAACAGAGCCCCAGAAAGAGATCAATTAAGAAATGATTTTTAAAGTCATGTGGCACTGCCATTTCTTGAGGATGGACTGAGACTAGATTGTTACAGTTGAGAGATACACAGGCTTGGGAGTAGAGGGGCCCTCTTGTTCATGCTGCTTTTAGCTGCATAGAAAAGCTTGTCTTATCCTCCGTGGTTCAGGTAACCTCTTCCCCAGTTTCCAGATAGGCAAAGAGCCAACCTGACATTTGCTAGTGCCAGCATGGTGGCATCTCTGTGTCTTGTCCTCTGGGTAACTCGGGCTCATGTTTCCCTTCTCTCCCCCTAGTCCTCTCCCAAGTGGCCTTTGGGGTCTCTGAGACCTGATGTTGTGTGGGACAGGGTTCTTGGTCCTCCTTCAGGTCTAAGTGGCGAGATGAACATCAGAATGTCATTGGTCCCTTTTGGCATTTCTGGGAGCCATGCTGGCTTCAACTACTCTCTTCTGGCGGGCACTGGCCCACCCCTAGGTGTCAGACTAAGGCCTGCAAAGGACCTGGGTGTGGATTCAGGCTCATCTACTGACCACTTCCTCCAAGGCAGCCCTGCAGAACTAGAATTTCTCTGAGGGTGTGCAGCCTCTGAGGCTGTGCTTGGAAGCCAGACTTTAGCCTCCTGATACTTTTATGCACCCCCTACTCTTCAGGCTCAGTGGGAGTGAGGGGCACTGTCCTCATTTACCCCCATTACTTCCAGGTTCCACTGAGGTGGAAGTAACTAGTATTCTACCACCTATCTTCTTGAGTGTTGCCTCAGTTACTTTCCTCATTGCTGAGACAAAATACCCAATACCCAAAGTTAAAAGAGGAAAGGTTTATTTCAGCTCACAGTTTGTAGAGGTTTTAGTCCATAGTCAGCTGGCTCCAAGGCAGGGTGGCATGGCAGAGGGGCACCACAGAGGAGAAACAGTACCTGGAAAACCAAGCAGGAGACATGGAGGCAGCAAGCAGCAAGCTTCCCTTTCCCTTTTATCCCATCTAGGCTATAAACCTACACCCAGGCTGGGGCTTCCCATTATCCATACCCAGAACTATGCTGAACCAGTCAGTGGACAAATGTAGTACCATGTACCCTTAATCTAAGTATCACACACCCGAGGTCCAGCCAGCTCACAAAAGCCCCACCTATGAGCACATGAAAGTTTGGGGGCCATCTAGATAAAATAACACATTTTCTCCTTACTGTTTGTACAAATCTCCTAGTGCAGCCTTCATGGCCAAAGCAGTGTGTTCCCTTTACCAGGAGAAGCCCCATATCAGGCTACAAAACCTGAATTCTCATTTGTTATTGAAGCTGAAGGAATTCTGCAAGCTCTGGTACCTCCACAGAGCCTGACTTCTGTTACCATTGATTATAACAAAATATATAAGGAAAAAATATAAGAAAATGACAGGAAAGGTCACACAGGCGAGAAATCATGGTAAGGAAATCTTAAAGTATGCTTCTCTTCCAGATTCAGGCTGGTTGTTCCCTTCTAGGGAACAGAGCCCTCTGCTTTTTTTTTTTTTTTAATTGAGTTTATTGGTACATTTAGGGATACAGTACAGTTACATTCATTGTTGGGATCATGTACCTTTACATGGCAAGTCTTGATTCTCAAAAGAAACCATTAGCAGAACTAAGAGACAATCTACAATGTGGGAAAAAATTTTTACCAGCTGTACCTCAGACAAAGGACTATTATCAAGGATATATAAAGAACTCAAAACAATCAGTCCCCCCAAATATAAAGACCCGATCCAAAAATGGGCATCCGAAATGAACAGAGCCCTCTGCTTTTAAGAACCTGTCCCTACCTCAGCCTCTCCTATCCTCCCATTCCTTGGAGTATTTTCCCCACGGAGCAGGAATGCCTCTCTGTCCTTATCACCAGGTTCCTATAGTTTGTGCAAAGAAGGCATTATCTTTGAAATGCAAATCTGCCTGGTTCCTTCTTGGTAAAGAGACTAAGATCCAAGATATTCCCAGGGGAAATAATTGTAAGGAACCCTTCTTGTGTCTTCTCAAATTACTTTGTCTTCCTATCATAGCCATGGAAATAAAGAAGTCTTTTCTTGCCGGGGAATCCAGCTGGCTGTGGACTGGTTCAGGGACAGAGGACACATCTATATCAAAGTTTTTGTCCCATCCTGGAGAAAAGAGCCATCCCGATCTGATACCCCCATCAGAGGTAAGCTGGGTTGGGTGTATGCTCGAGGGGTGCTGGGAACTCTTCCTTGGTAATGCTCCCCAGTCATGGTCCATTATCTTTTTTTTTTGGTACCAGGGATTGTACTCAGGCCCTTGTGCTTGCGAGGCAGGCAGCTGAAACACTGAGCCAAATCCCTGTCCCTCCATTACCTTTTTAGTAACTGGTTTAATGGTTAAAAGCTCCATGAAAACACTGGCAATGACTGTTCAGCACTAGAAAAATACCTGACATATAGTAGATGCTCGAAACATAGTTGAATAGATAAATGAATTACTCAATCTTTTAGCGTGAATGGTTAAATTCTCAAAAGGATTGTGTCTTACAACTTTTAACACTGAAGAAAGATCGGCTCTGCAACCCACCCTACAAGTATGTAGGATCAGAAAGAGACATTTCACTTGGCCAGGTAATATTTATTATTTACTGAGTACTTAGTCCCATCTCTTCATTTAAAACAAATGGTAATTGAGACCCAGGAAATTCTTTAATTCTTTTATTAGCTAAGGATACTTTAAGCAACAAATAATTGAACAAGATGGTTTAAATCAACAGGGTTTTGCTTGGTTTTTGTTCAGCTCTGTGATAACAAGAAGTCAGGTCCCTTCATCAGCACCCTTTCAGCCAAGGCAACACCTGCCGGCCAGCCTCTCAATCATTCTGGGAAGTTTCCTTGGTGTTTTCCTCCTGTCTTTTTTCACAAAAGTTTTTATTTTTGCCTGAGTTTTTTGTTTGCTTGTTTGTTTGTTTGTTTATTTGTTTGAGGCAGGGTCTTACTGTGTAGCCCAGGCTGGCCTCGAACTCAGTGATCCTCCTACCTCAGCTTCCCAAGTGCTGGGATTATAGGCTTTGGGGTTTATTTTTAATTCTGTCTGTGATTACCAGTTTGTTTGTTTGTTTGTTTCTTTGATTACTAGTGTCTTCTGTCTCCATTACCTTTTCTTTATTTTTTAAAATAAAAATGTTATTCTTATCCTGAATATTTCTATAGTAATAGACTTTAGAAAAAAGTTCTTTTCATTTCTACAAATACTATCCATCTGTGTCTCTCTCTCTTTGAAGTCTGCTGATACTCTATTTCTATGCCACTGCCCTGGGATTTCTCTCCCCATATAAGGGCCTTTACCTGAACTGTAGGGCTTAACCTTGTTGCTGACCTGTTTCCACACACCCCATATGGGGTGGGCAAACAGCAGGCACCTCTATTCACTGTGTATCCGGTGCCACAATGATGGGACTTTTATTCTAGAGAGCAACATGATGGGGGCTTCCTCCTTCCTTTATTTACAGTTTAGGGGTCAGAAGCAAGTATAGGTCCCCACCCTTGGGACACTTGCCATCAGTAGCCCTCCTGGGAGTGAGCCTGCCCTGGCTGGCATCCACCTCTCCATGGCCTGGACTGCTTTGTGGCTGCACAGGAAAAAGGGCGCCCAACTCCGCCTCAACCTTCTGTGTGCACTCTGGGCTGTGCTGCTGTCTGTGCTCTGTGATCAGTATGGTCCTCTCTGCGTTCCACCCTCCTAGAGTGTGTCAAAATCCTTGATCTGCTGTTGTTCCTAAGCCCACTTTTAAGATGATGGATCCCCTTTTGTGCCACTTAGCTATCCTTTAAATGGAATTTATGGAAAGAAGAGGGAGATATACACATATGTTCAGTTGTCCATTATGGACTTGTCATCCCAAGTAATTCTTTATGGCATGAACATGGAGACTTGCGTCATTCCATGTGTAAATATAATATAGCTAAAGAGTAGGAAAATTATTTTGGGGTAGGAAAGGAATTTTTATTTTTATTTTTGGTACCAGGGATTGAACTCGGGACCTTACACTTGTAAAGCAGGCAGAGGAATCACTGAGCTAAATCCCCGGCCCCTGGGAAAGGAATTTTTAAACAAGCTACCGTAAAGAAAGTTCTACAGGGAAAGATGAATACATTTCTGTTCATTAACAAATATCACAAAAGAAATAAAAAAAGAAAAAAGAAGAAAGGACATGTCTCAAACCGGGGCAGACTACACATCACATACTATTTTTTTTCCGCATCAGATGTTATTGAGGAAAGATTAATATCTAGATTTATGGAGAACATTTTCAAATTAATGAGACAGAGACAATGAACCAATAGAAAAATGAGCTCAAGCAGAAACAAATCTTTCATAGAGAAAACATGAATGGCCAATAAGCCTATGCAAAGATATTTAACCTCATTCTAACCAGAAAAATACAAAATAAAGCCACTGATTTAGCTCAGTGGCACTACACCTGCCTTGGAAGTGCAAGGTCGTTGACTGTGATTCCCAGTACCACAAAAAGACAAACAAAACAAAAAATAGAACTACCATAAGAGGATACTTTATATTCATGAGATTGGCAAAAATTATTAGAGAATTTCTAAGGAACATTCTAGAGAGTTTCTTGGACTCCTGTGCCAGGGGCTTACTCACAAGCTGACTGCAGCAAACACTAAACAAGTAACTTCACCAACCACAGTGAGTGAAAAAACAGTTGTATAAGTGCATACAGGGTATGATTCCATTTGTGTAAAGTTCAGTGTGTCACCGTACTGAAAACGGTCCTCATACATACGTATTTCTAAGTTAAAACAAGAGAATTACAGCGTATGAAACAGTATGCTCTAAAATACGAGTTATCTGAAGGGGAATGGAGAGGACTGTAATCAGGGAGGAGCAGCAGAAACTTCCCCAGTATGGCCCACCTTATGCTTCTCAAAGTTTAAGGCGTGCTTTTAATTGTACTTGCAAAATCACGTCATATTGGAAGAGACTTAAGCTTGAGGGAGAAATGAAGAAAAGGTTAATACTTTTTCAAGTTGTGAGTAATTATGATGTGGAGAAGAGGTTCTCCTTGCATGTCTCCAAAGGCAAATCTAAGATCAAGTGGTGGCCCTTCCCAGGATGCAGACTGTAGCCTCTGCTAGGAAAAACATTGCAATATTTGCACCAGCTGGCACAGGTCCACCTCCTTCCTAGTTTTTGAGAGACCTCTCACACATTTGTGCTTGCTCAGTCTACTCACAAGCACATGAGATAGGTAAAGGAGGTGTCATCAGCATCATTTTATGACCATAGCACCTAATATTAAAGAGGACTAAGGAACTGGAGCCCATCTCAGAATTCAGGCTGTGTATTCTGAATCCTAGACTCTTCTTATGTTCCTGAGTCTCTCAGAGGTGTCCATTGTGGCTTCTCCAGTTCACAGGTCTCCAAGCAGACTCTGGGATAGTTCTCAGTGAAGGGCCCATCCTGGAGCCATCCAGGTGGATGCCAGGCTGCTAGTCACAGCTAAGGCATCACCAGGGTTCCAGTTCAGTCATGAAATCCACCCCCCAGAAAGAGGCCCCAGTGTCTAGCACTGTGGGGCCAATGTGGCGCTTAACCCTCAAAAGGACAAGAGCTGTGGCTAAAGTCTTCCTTCTAAGGAGGCTGTCACACGTTGGGTACCTTATTGTGGACTCTGTTTTAACCCAGGCAGGACAAAAGCCAGAAGCTACCTTGAAAATTAAGTGAAATTTAAGGGAAAAGAAAATGAACTTCCGGAGTGGGAGGAGAAACTGGTGTCTGCTCCCTTCCCTGCCTCCGTCTGACTGGCTGGGGCAGGGTGGGAGAGAATGGGTGCAGAATGGCCCTGACTGTGGTCTCTGCGTGTGGCCCCAGAGCAGCACGTGCTGGAGGATCTGGAGCGGCAGGCGGTGCTTGTGTACACCCCGTCTCGAAAGGTGAACGGCAAGCGGGTGGTCTGCTATGACGACCGCTACATCGTGAAGGTGGCCTATGAGAAGGACGGCGTCATCGTCTCCAATGACAACTACCGAGACCTGCAGAGCGAGAACCCTGAGTGGAAGTGGTTCATTGAGCAGAGGTTGCTCATGTTCTCCTTTGTCAATGATAGGTACGGGGAAGGGGGCCTGGCAGCAAGGGCTGGGGTGGTAGCAGAAAGCTATTTCCATGTCTAGGCAAAACTGGGCTTGGGGTCAAGGGCATAGCCAGCCTTATAGATGGAGCTGGCCTGTTACCCACTCCGCCTTCCCAGGCCACACGGTCACCTCTGTTGCTTTGGGTCTCCTCTCTTTTGTGACCAAATTCCTCGTGGGTCCTTTCACCCATGGGCAGTTTAGTCTCTGGCCTTGCAGTTCCCATGGCCATATCCAGCTGACTCATGGGAAAACTTCCCAGCAGGTGGGCCAGTGTGTGTGCATGGTGCCCCAGAAACTTCTTTTATTTTAGAATCTAGTCCTTCAAATAAGAGCTCTGAACTAGTCATCATGGGAAAAAATCTAGACTTTGTAGAATTTCCTTTCACTTATTTTAGGTTTTAAAAGTGTTTTGAATTACATAAGGGAGTGGGCTAGAAAGTCTTTTCTTCAGGTGGTAAAGACTTTAAATCTGCCTGGAAATGGCTGTCCCCATGCCTCTTGGTTGAAATGGTCAGGAGGATCCATCAGTCTGCTTGGCCCCGAGGTTGGTCCCATGAGTCAGGTCAGGCCTGGACCAAGTGGCTGAGGCTGGGGAAGGAGGGATATCAGGGTCACAAAGAATAAATCTATCAGCAGGCACTGGGCAAGGGCTCTGACCCTGAGCAAAGAAGGGAGGGAATGATCGCTTGTCTACTGCAAATGTGCTCAGGCATTCGCAGTGCTTAGGAGCCCAGCATGGTGGCTCTGGGTCTGGGGAACAGACTGGTTGACACAGCAAGCAGAGGCATCATCCCGCTTCAGCATCTGTCCCAGGCAGTGATGGTTCAGCTCTGATTCTGGGCTCTTCAACTGGTCTTTTGGAACGTGTGTTTAAATGTGTGTGTTATTCCATAAGGGGAGTGACTGTTTTTGTTTACCTGTTATGTCCTAGCACACTGGGTACAGAGTAACCAGTGTCACAGGAATGAAGGAGTGAAGGAGTCCATAGATGAAGTGATGGAGTCATGGTAGTGATGAATGGAGGAGAGGGGAGAAGAGGCCACCTGCTCATGACAGGGTAGCTCTTGACCCTGAAACCAGAGAGGCATTCCAGTGCTGTGGGAAGAGCTGGGGCTTGGAGTGGCCAGTGGGTCATGGCCATCAGTCAGTCAACCAAGGATCAAAGTAATAGTGCCCGTGAGATCACTGTGAGGACTAGAGAGAACTGTATCCTAAACTGACAACTGTTCTTCCAAGGCCAGACCAGGACATGGCGTCCCCAGGTTACACTGTTGTCCCTACCACTGTAGCTGAGTGAGTGGAGATGGCCTCCTGAGCCCCAGGGCAGATGCTCACCAGCAACCACCCGATTGCCATTTCCAGATACACAGGGCCAGCTGCTCACCCTCTCTAGATGTGGCCTTAGAAGTCTGGCAAGTCTTGTGGCTGTGGGCAAGTTCCAGCAGAAATCCTCACTGGGGGCTGAAGGGTCATGGCTACCTCTGGCCTGGTGACAACTGGGGCCTGGGCCAAGTCTGTTGGATGCACTGCTCTCTGCTAAAGGGCAGCCAGGCCGTGTCTGCCTGCCTGACCGCGAGTGAGGGCCCCCGCACCTTTGGGCCCGGGCACATCCACAGGGCCTTCTTGGCATAGTTCCTGCTCCTGAGAGAGCAGGAGGTGAAGCCTTTGGGAACTTTTAATAACTGTAGTGGGTGGCTCCCCAGATTTTTGGTCAGAGCCCAACTCTGAGAAGCCGGCTGTGGAGCCTGGCGCTGAGCCATGGAGACCGCCCTGGGCCAGGACCGCCCAGCTCTCTGCAGGGCAGGATCAGGACTCTGTGACTCTTGGAGGGACAGCAACCCACAAAACAGCCTCTCCCCCATTTAGAATCCACTGCTCTTTGGCAGAACCTTTGTATGCCTGGGAGGGTCTCCTGGGAATAAAAATACTCATTTGAAAGGTAGATCTCACTGAACAGGAGAGGCACTTTATTTTTCCCTTTGATCCCTGAGCACGAATTTTCTTCCACGTCAGGGCTCTGTGCCAAGGAGGAGCGGGGCAGGCTGCTGTCAGAAAACCACATGTGCAGGGGCAGGGACGCTGAGACAGTGCTCAGAACCCCTGGGCTTGGCGAGGAGAACCCCATTGGTGCTTTGGCGCTGCGTGCTGGCCGCTTTCATCTGCTTCACTGAGGCACTGGCTGGTGCTTCCGACTGTCAGTGCTGACCTCTCCCCTGCATATATCCTGGGGTGAGGCACACAGGAGAATGGGGACTGACCCTCAAGGAGCTCATATAGCTCCCAAATCTAAGAGTTGTCTGTTAACTCTACAGAGTTTCTTAACCTATGAAGACAGTGAGAAGCTGGGAAGTGGAGGTAGAATAGCTATGCTTCAATTTTCCTGGATAAAAATCCCCCGGGATGTTGTTAAAATGTGAATTTCTGAAGAACTTCGGTGCTGATTATGCAAGTACACGTGTGAAGTCTGAGGCAGCATCTGTAACCAGTTGCTAGGTGGTTCTGTGCCTGCTGGCTTGCACCACAAGGGGAGGAAGTCTGGGAATGGCTGGGGCCATGCTGTGTTCAGGGGCTCAAAGTGAATGGTGTTGAGCTGTTTAGGGTGTTGTGACAACTGCCCTGGGCGATGGTCTGTGCCACTGGGTGCTTGATGAATGGCCTGGGCCTGCACCCCCAGCTCCACGCAGAAGCCAGTGGCAAGTCCCTTTTGGTCTAGTAGTCATCCCTCTGTGCTTATTTCCTAGGTTCATGCCTCCTGATGATCCCCTGGGCCGCCATGGACCCACCCTGAGCAACTTCCTGAGCAGGAAGCCGAGGCCCCCAGAGCCGTCCTGGCAGCACTGCCCTTACGGTGGGTAGTACTCAGGGCCTTCTGAATCCTGTTCAGGGACTGATAGAAGCAGCACAGGGGCACAGTCAGAAGCGCTGGCCTGGCAGTCAGCAGCCTGGATTTCCTTCCAAGTTCCACCCTTGACCAGCTGTGTGCCCCTGGAGAGGTAATTTAACCTCCCTGGACTGCAGTTTCTGAACAGGCTGCTATAAAGATGAACTGACATCCTAGACACTTGCATGGGAGTGTTCAAGCTGGATGCTGGAGTCACACATGTGGCCAGGCTGTGCCATGCGGCCCTGGGTCCAGTTCTCAGCCATTTCATGGTGTCCCCATCCTGCCCCACTGTTGCCTGTAGCTCTGCCATTACCCATTAAAATTAAGGATTTTCTTCTGGCTGACCTTCTAGGCAGCTCTTTCACTGACTTGCTTAGGAGTTACTGCGTTCAGAGCCCTATTGCTCAACCTCCAAGCAGCCCAGGGTGCTTCTCTCCTCTGCCAGGCACCCAGACCCCAGGCCTTTCCTGGGGACTCTGGGAGGAGAGGCCAGGACTCCGCATTGCTGGAACCACAGGCCTGTCCATGTATCAAGTCTCACTCTGTACCCTCTCTGCTGTGCTCCTTCCAGGCAAGAAATGCACCTATGGTATCAAGTGCAAGTTTTACCACCCGGAGAGGCCGCACCGCGCGCAGCTGGCC